AACCAAGGAGACAAACCCGGGCTTAGTCTTTTTCATGATAAACACAGAAAATGATATTTGTGCACAGGGTCTGATAAAGAGGCTCGTTGTAGCTGGTGGCAACTAGCCTGGTAGCTGTGAATGCCCCAGGTGCTACCTGACCACGCTGAGAGACAAATATTCTGGCACACCCAGAACCCACTCCTGGCCAGGGCTAGGAAACTCTACTGAGTGATGTCAAAACTGCTGCATTTTCCATTCCATTCTCAGGCTTCTCAGTAGCTGCACCCAGGTAAGCCTACAGCCAATTCTTCAAACAAAGGGAGGAGGTACCCCACACATCCCCAGACTACACACACCCTGACTGCAGGCCCTCCCACAAACACAAGCCCTTTCCAGTATTTTTTTTTTTTTAATTGGGGGAAAAAGTCTTCTATAAAAGACTTTTTTCTTTAAAAAAAAAAATCTGCCCACCCTCTTGCTCATGACAGAAACTTCTAAAAGAAACAAAGGCGGTCATTCCAATAGGTTTAAAATGAAAACTATGAGTTAAAGAAACACACCAAAATATATTTATATTAGTGTTATCTGTCAATCAAGCAAAGATTAAATATATGACATCAGATTTCATCTTGGTTTAGTAAGGAAGAAGCTAGACAGGTACACATTCATTCAATGTCACAGGATGGGTGTGGGACCCCCAAGGAGCAAACAATGGTAGAAAACCCTGAAAAAGTAGATAAATCTAAAAGAGGTTCATATATTTATGAAGTCTCTGAGATGAAACACAAAATTGGGGTATGATTTAGTGGCATTATTCTTAGGGGACTGGGAAAGATCAAGAGATTGTCACAAATGTCTAAAACCAAAAAAGGCCAGGGACATCAGGGTTGCTTGGTTGGTTAAGCCTCCGACTCTTGATCGCAGCTCAGGTCTTGATCTTAGTTCAGCTCTTGATCTCAGGGTTCTGAGTTCAAGAAACAAAAAAGGCTATAAAATACTGCTGTGGAAAATCCACATCAAGTCAAGCATCAATGGCCCAGAATCATATTTAGATCTTTGGTATTATCTTCTAAAGCTGGGGTGGGCCTCCAAACTATTTGTATAAATAAAGCTTTATTGGAACACAGCCATGACCACCTGTTCAGGTACTGGCCATGACTACAATGATAGAGACTATATGGCTCACAAAGCCAGAAATATTTACTATCTGGCCCATTACAGAGAAAGTTTACTAACCCCTGTTCTATACAAAAGCAGCCTGGAATGAAAAAGTTACCCTCAACGGCTTACTTACACGGATTATCAACAGAAGACCAGTGGCAAGATTTACAGAAAGGTCTACTTTCATTAAGTAACAGAAAACATTTATTTCTAAAATTTTATAGACCAATTAAGTAAGTTCCGTTCATTTATACACTGTTTTGATTAACACCCTGGATAGCTATTACAAAACAACTCATTGTAAGCACATTATATAAACAGTATAGCAGAGCAGTTATTTTGACAAAGGTTAAAAAAAGTTTTCTTGCACAAGAAAATTAAGAAATGCTTCATGATCATCTGTCCTTCTCATTCCCACCGCTCACTAAAAACCATGAAATACATTCTTTCAGTGTTTTCATCAGAATGAAAAAAATATTTTATATAGATATATAATGTGTCATACAGAGATAATCAAGCTATTAGTCACTAAGAGGAATCAGCAATTTAGAAGTTTTATAACTCTAAGAGTGAATCGTTCTACATTAGTTTTACATATATTTAAAAATTCTCAACTGCCATTATATCCTGCAAATAAATACATTTCATTACAATTATATAACCAAATGTTACTCACCTATATTCCCTATAAAAATGAGGGGAGGAGGAATTAAACTAAAATAATCAAAAGGATGAAGAAACACTTCTTAAAACATCTAGCCATATATTTATGGAACTGTCAATAAAGTAACTTGATAAAACAAATCAGAGCAAACAATAATCATATATGTCATTTCCAAGATACCCTCAAGTATTATACTAAGTATCCTACCCTGTTTTATGCATACGGTACTAACTATCTGAAGGGACAAATATTTTAATTGAAGGAAACCAGGAATGTGGACAGAGTGCAACTTTGTGCAACTGCAGCTACACTGCAAATGTTTTAAATACCAAAGCCTATTTAAAAAAAAAAAAATCAAAGGAAACAAAACCTGAAAGGAATTTTGCAACTTATTATCTAATTAAGCAACTTCTTTTCCAAAGTTGCATTTATGTTATCACTATCCTCTCCTGTCCACATACGCTGGCTAGGTTAGGAACACTTCAGAGATAACATTTTAAAACATGAGACAGTTTGGTTCCAGAAACTCAGTAAAAGTCTCTAATGATATCTCAGACCACATATTTAAGTGAAAAAAAGAAATCTACATTTCGGTAAAGGCACAACAGATGAGAAGAAAAGAATACCTAAATTATGGCGATAAATCAGAGCCCAAAACTGTCTATTGGAAGGAAGGTGAAGGGGAGGGAAGTATGAGGTTAAATACTTACTTACACAAACTGAAACTGCGCTTTCGGTCATTTAAAACGACAATTTTGATTTTTATTATTTGGGTATGTTATTATACTGGCCTTAAATCTCCCCTCCTCCACCAGTATGTTGCCATCATACCAGACGTGCTTTCCTCCTTCTTGGAGTAAGTGCTGTTTTATTGGGCTGGAAAAGAGCTCTTGAAATTGTCCAGCCAGGAAAATGTCTAAGTGGGAAAAGGAATGGAGGGGGCTACAGGTATGATCTTCATAAATAAACCTAAATAGTAGTTTCAAGTATAGAATAAATCTGCACTCAAGTTACGCTCTTCACTTTTTAAATTGATAAAGATTTTTAACGGTGGCAAGATTCCCAAGTATTGTGGAAATGCTTAACAATTTAGTTTCTGATATTCCTTGGTTTTCGTTTACAGAAAATTTCAGAGTAAAACTCCATCCACCTGGACATTTAGTTCGCTGACCACCTTCTTTTCTTATCAACTACAAAGCTTCAGATGCAGTGGTGAATTCAAGATGTAGCTCAATTATGAAACGAGACGTGCATGAGGAGTCAGAAGAAACTGGGACCTCCTCCCCTTTATTTTTACGTATTTCTCATCCCTCACACTGGAGTCCTCCACCAGCCATCCTTCGAGGAGAAACTTTCTCTCCCTCCTCCAAGCCTAGGGCCGAAGTAGGAAGTACCCGCCCTCCCGAGCAGGGAACCGCGGTGCCCTCGCCGCTCATTGGCTGCGGAGGCCGTCAGAGCTGCAGAGGGCGGGGCCTCCCGGCTGAGCGCAAACTCCCAGGCCCGCACTTCGCCGAGGGTCCGGGGAATCTCCACCCCAGAAAAAGCAGCCAGCGTCCACTAGGGGTTCCTTCTTCTTTTTATTTTGCGGGCCCTCCTCTCAACGTCCTGCCCGTTTGACTCCTCCACGCGGCAATTTTTCAAAGCTCCAACATCTCATCCCCACCCCAGCAAGCTCCAGTCCAGGACCAAACAGAAAGATGCTGCGGTTTTAGGAGTGAAGCAAGCTGTGGACTGGATCTCCCAAGGGTAGCAGAGGATTCCTTCCTCTGGAAATGATATAATCGCTTAAGTTTTCTGTTAACTGTTGTAAGCGCACTGGCCTTCGCCAAGTATTAAAGCCAAAAATACTCGGTGTCCATTCAGTAAGAGTTGCCACAAAGTATTACAGGGTTAGTTGAATCTCTTGTTGAATTATCCACCGTTTCCAGTGTTTTGTCCGGTTGCCCCTAAAACTATGCCATTCTTCGACCACACCCGCAACAGCTCAAGCTCCTATACAGATTTACCACACACGCATTCTGTACTTTATCCTGTAAAGCAACCTGACAAGACACACTGCTGTTGTCTACAGGGAGTGTGCATACTTCTTGAAACTACAAACTCTTTGGAGGAAGAATTAGAAACAATGGTGCTAGTTATGATAGGTACCCAGGGCTCTACAAACTATGCGCATTCAATTTTTTCAACAGCATCCTTATGATCAGTAGTCAGAGGAGGAAAATCATTTCGTTTTTGTAATGCTTTCAGACTTTCAGTTCCGTCACCAGAACTGCTCAAGGATGGGAGATAACCTACTGTAAAATAAGTATATTTTTAGTATTTACCCCTAATAAGGACTACAGCTATGAGAGAACACGATTTATGTGTTTGACACATCATCTCCCGAGGCCTGCAGTACACAGGGAAGAGGCAACAAGAGTTCTTTAGATCTCACTGCAGCATCCTCTAGGTTGTGTTGCTTCCTGACACTATCCTAGAGCAATGTGGTCTTCTCATTTTTCTTTTTTGGGGTCCCCTTCGTCTCTCTGACTTTGGCCTCAATTCTCAGTGTATTTATTTCCCATTGCCACCATCACCATCTCTATTGCCTTGCAATCTCTCTCACATTTGCTAATCCTGACAGGGTCCCACGAAAGCCCATTCTCCAACAGGTCGGCCATCCTCCCTGTACTTCTCAAGCCACTTCAGCTTCTCCCTTAGCTTCACGGCTCCCACCACCCACTCTCGCCAGTGAACTTCACTCCTCTGAAGTCTGGCTGCTGCCGAATCCTGACAGCTGGGCCTAACCAATCCGTGAGGGATAAATAACCGACGCCACCAATGAGCAGCAGCCGTGGGGTGGGAGGCGGGACTTCGCCTAAGTTCCTCGGGTCCTGAAACCAAAGACCTGTTGCCGCCGCCGCGGTGGCCGCGGAGTTTCTTAGTTACCGCGGCACCCACGGCAGCCTCGGGCCGCCAAAGCCCGTGCCGGGCACCAAGTTCCTGCCGCCCGCTCCCGCCACTGCCAACGAACCGGACCGAAACCCCCACCCAGCTCGAGCGCGGCGCACCCCGCCCCACCTCCCCCGGCGCGGGGATCCCGGAGGCCGCCCCGCGCCCTCCCGGCCTCCCCGTCTCCGCCCGGCTCCCGCAGGCAGCCCCACCCGGCCCGGGCCACCGGGCCCGGGAGCCCGAGACCCCCGCAGCCACTCACCAGGAAGTTGGGAGTTTTCCGTTCTCCTGTCCGCGAGGGACCCGGGGCGGGCGGGCGGCTCGGCCAGGCGGCCCCGCGGAAAGGCCCGCTGGGCCGGGGGCTGTGGCTGCGAGGCCGGGAGCCGATCGCCACCTCCCGCCGCGCCGCGCCGCCCCCGCGGACGCTGCAGGCGCGGGCCCCCACCCTGCGCAAGGCGAGACGCGTCCCGAGTGCGAGCCTAGTGGCGGCCCATCCTCCCGCAACTCCCGCTCCTCCTCCCGCGGCCGCCGCTGTCAGGAGGGTAAACATCCCGGCATCCCCGAGGAGAGGGGCGGGGCGGGCGTCGGCCCCTCCCCGCCCCCGGAGCCTCGCGCCGCCGGTCCGGCCGGCTGCGCGTCGGGGCTGCCCGCGGGCCCCGCACGGCGCTCTGCGAGTGCAGGGAGCCCCGTCACCTCCCCGATGCAGCCGAAGCCGTTCTGGGGGGCCCCTCCCCGCCCCCGGAGCCTCGCGCCGCCGGTCCGGCCGGCTGCGCGTCGGGGCTGCCCGCGGGCCCCGCACGGCGCTCTGCGAGTGCAGGGAGCCCCGTCACCTCCCCGATGCAGCCGAAGCCGTTCTGGGGGGCCCCTCCGGCATGTGGCTCCCTGTTGTCAGACCCAGCGCGGCGTGGAGTGCGTCGATCTGCCCCCTGAGCCCCATTCGCCTCCTTTGCGCCAACTTTCCTCTGGGCTGGGGTGGGCTGCTTTTTGAGAACTTGTCTTTTCCTCACTTGCATTTGAATGCCCCCACTTTCAAGCTGTGAGCTCAACTGGTGACGTCCCCTTTCTTCTGGATCACAGCGTTTTGATCCCATCTTCTCTTACTAGGTGGTTTGAACTACCTCTGCGCTAAGCACGCCTTACATTAAAGTAAGAGTCCTAGCGTAGATAACAATGGCTTTTAGGACATTTCTGAAAAGTGAACGACTTATTTTGGTATTGGGAATCTTTGGGAAGTGGGGGGTGGATACCCCAGACCCCTAGGACAGGAACTGCAAAAGACTACTACTTGGGTAACTGGACACGTATTACTGGAGATGACAGCCAGGAGGCAGTATGGAGTCAACCACGCCTTCATTCTAATCTTAGTTCAGTGATTATTAACTCTGTGACCCGGCAGCAAGTTACTTCACCTCTCCCGAGTATTAGTCTCTTTGTCTGTAAAACAAGAATGGTAATAATACTCATCTCTAGGACTAAGGTTAGAATTAAATGAGATAAGCAAGGTGCTTAAATACAAGAACCTAGCTTTTAAGTACTCATTAAGTAGTTGTTACTGCCCCTAGGTCTTTCACTAGTTTGATTTACCTACCAAAGGGATTCAAGCCAAGAATGAGTAGATTATAGCTCAAAGACTTCAGAAGTTAAAACTATGGATTTAAGATTTAGAAAGTTTATTTTTAGCAAGAAAAAAAGTCAAGATCTCAAGAGGAGATGTTGATTCTGTTGGCTCAAGAAGTAATAAATGTACTAGTTACCGTTCTAAGGAATGAAGGTACAACAGTTACCAAGATACAAAGTCCTTGCTATCATGGAGTTTACGTTGTAGTAGAAAGGCAATAATCATCATCATAAGCCAGTAAATACATACTATGTCAGATGGTGATTCATACAAAAATAAAGCAGGGTAAGGAGACAGGGAAGGGAGCATGCTGTTTGAAATACATTTATCTGGGAAGGCCTCTCTGACATTTGAGCAAAGACCTGAAGGAAGTGAGAAAATGAGCCATGTGTCTGTCTAGGAGTAAAGCATGACACAGAAGGCACAGCAATACAAGGACCCTGAGTGGAAGTGGGCTTGGCATGTGTGAGGAATAGCCAAGAGATAAGTGTAGCTAAAATCCAGCAAGCAAAGGGAGTGCACTAGCAGATGTGATCAGAAGAGGGGATGGGGTACAGGAAGGGGACAAATGTAGAAACTTGTTAAGTTTTAGAATTTATTCTGGATGAAATGGAGAGTCCTTGGAGGAGTGACCAAATCAGACTCGGTTTAGGATATAATAGCAGCACTGTGGAGAATAGACTGCAAGTTAAGAACAACTAGAAGGGGAGATTATTCTAAAAGTCAGGTGAAAGATATTGATAACTTAGAACATTGTGCATATAGTGGAGGTAATAAGAATGGTCAGATTGCAGATATATTTCTAAGATTTGCCAGTGGGTTGGATGTGGGGTAAGAAAGGAGGCAAAGATGAAGCCAATGAAGTTGGTATTTGAACTAGATCATTCTGTCACATCACAACAAATTAAAATCAGTCTGTCAAATAAGAAAAGTGTCACCTGAGTCATACACAAGCACACCTTGCAGGAAAAAGAACGAGATATTCCCAGGGTGAAGACATTTCAACCTGAAATGGCACAGGAAGTATGATTAAAGGTTTTGGGGGGTTTTGTTTATATTTTACTATCTTTTGCACCACCTTTTTAAAAAATGTAGATAGACTGATAGATAATAAAACATCCCAGTTTAAATAAATTTCAGATTCATCTGTAGACCAGATACTTCATTGGCGTGAGGAAAACTTACATACCTTATGAACACTGATAGGCAAATAAATCAAAATGAGCTCCCAAAGCCTAGTAGCCACAAAGACTTAGTCTAAGAAATATCCTGTTAGTGGCTCTATGGTGCCCAAAGTACTGAAATCACCTGTATGTGTCCTCTTCTTTCACCTTAAAGGACTACAGAGCTACAGCTATATAGTAGTAAAGTGTTTTAAAAGTTGTTAAGACTGTCAGAAATGAATCCACTACACTTTCTCATTGTGACTTTTTATTGCCCTGTGTGGACATAAGGGAGGGTTGCCCCAGCCACTGGCCCTTGGCCTGGAGCAAATGCTAATGGAAAAACTGAGATCTGGCCAAAGAGGCTCCTCTGACCCTGGGGATCATTACAGCAGAGCCTAGCTTTAACTGCTTTTCTTTTTTTTTTTTTTTTTTTTTTTTTTTTTAAAGATTTTATTTATTTATTTGAGAGAGAATGAGAGAGAGCACATGAGAGGGGGGAGGGTCAGAGGGAGAAGCAGACTCCCTGCCGAGCAGGGAGCCCGATGCGGGACTCGATCCAGGGACTCCAGGATCATGACCTGAGCCGAAGGCAGTCGCTTAACCAACTGAGCCACCCAGGCGCCCTTTAACTGCTTTTCTATTCATCTCCCACCAACCTTGCTTCAAAAATGCTGTCTGGCTCCATGAAACGCATTAATTACAGTCTTTTCTATGAGCTGTGTTTATACTTAATTACTACACAATACATACCATTAACTATCAGGTTAACTTTGCTGTAAATGATATTTGATTATGTCACTTAAAGCCTGTCAGCTTATACCAAGGCTTCCTATTTTATTATTCATACAGCTTCACTGGCCCCACACAATTTAAAATAAAAATTAAATGTAGAATTGATTACCAAAACCCATTTTTTATCCATAGGCTAAACCAGACCAGATGTTATATACCATGTTCATTGTAAATGCAACTTCTCTGTAAAGAGAGAAGCTTGCTAGAAAAAAAAAAAAAAAGTGTTTTCCCGATGAAGGATGGTGAAGTAATATTAAAAATAATTTTCCTTTGAAAAAGATCCTAGCCACTGGGGTAGACCAGAAATGTCTAGTCTTCTTGACTCACAAACATAGTGCTGGCAACAGGTGTACTTAAAAAGCTACTAGTGATATTGGCAGTCACTGAACTTGGCAGCTAAATGGTGATGAGGCTTAGTCAAGCTGTTGAAATGTCTGGACTGAACTGGGCCAAGAGGAGGAAGTCAAAGTGCAGACTGCAGACAACCCAAGGGAGATCACTTTTCTCTAGTCCTGGCTGTGGTCACTGTACAGTGTCTGGAAATAAATCCTTATCTTTCTTTGAAAACACTCATGAAAAATATTAGAAAGCTACTTTTTCACTCTGACAGCCCCTTGCATTTAATTTTTAGTGGATCACATAGATGAGCTTCCCATGAAAACAATAAAATCAGCCTTCATTTTATTCTCACGCCAAATCCCTAGAACTCAAATTCACAGAAAGGCAACTCTGCTGTCCCTAGCACCTAGTTATGGCATTTTGAGAATATGGTTCATAGTTTAAAATTGTGGCATACTTATGGTGGCTTTTTCCTGGCTATTTTTGTCATAGTTACAAAACGGGGGAAACATTTTCAATACACTATATACATATTTTAAAAATATATACTCTTAAAATGGAGGGAAATGTAGTAGTTTATACTGCTTGCAAAATAGGGAAGAAACAGTACCACTGGTAGTTCATGTTTATGTTACAATTTTCTTTGTTTAACAGAATCCAGTTGAATTTATACATTTTGTCTCTTACTATAAAAGCCAAAAGGCCAATATGCAATGGGCCAAAAGTCAAAGCAATGAAGGAACTATATTCAAAAATCACTTCCCTTTCACACTTGTACACTCTACCCTTGATGTGGAGCCAAACAGTGAGTCCATTTCACAGGACACACTCTCCTCAACAATGGTAGCATTTTCACAGAGCGTTCACGAGCTCCTCTTTATTCTCTATGTTCATAGAGAGTTGTGGTGATACACCAATCAAATCCCAAAGATAATTTTTAAAAGTACAGGTTTCTCTGGAATATTTTGTGTGCATGCATCTACCTGAGAAAGGGATGTTACAAATACTCTGGGATTTCACAAAGCTGAATGGATAGGTCTAGAAGAGGTCTGCCTAATTTCTGCCTCCTTCTACATCCTCTGACTCATCAAGTCCTCTTTTGTGCTGTTCGCTTAATCTTGGGATGCACCAAATCCATTCAGGTTGGAACAACTGGAGCAATTTTCTATTTACTAAATAGGAAAAAAAAAAAGGCAAATAATAAGTATTTCTGTTTACTTTTAGTATTCCCGCATGGTTAAATTGGGAGAGCACTGGGCGCCGGGGTGGCTCAGTTGGTTAAGCGACTGCCTTCGGCTCAGGTCATGATCCTGGAGTCCCGGGATCGAGTCCCGCATCGGGCTCCCTGCTCAGCAGGGAGTCTGCTTCTCCCTCTGACCCTCCTCCCTCTCATGCTCTCTCTCATTCTCTCTCTCTCAAATAAATAAATAAAATCTTTAAAAAAAAAAATTGAGAGAGCACTCTCAGGCTATAGATCCAAAAGCACATCCTAACAATGTCAACACAAGAGGTGAAAAGTTGCAGTCACTATTGTGTTCACCTTTCTAACCCTCTTTGCTCATACTTCAGCCTTTCTTGCTCAAAACATACATCTCTTCATCTTTTTTTTTTCCAACTGTTCTATTTAA